AAAATTTGCAAGATAAAAATGCAAAAACGACAACGATAACGCCACATTTTATGCATATATAATGATACTACGTATCGTTATGAAAATAATACATCTTTGAATACTTGGGGTCTTGTGGTTTTTTGTGCTATTTTACAAACGATAAATGAAAATTATCCGGATCTAAATCATGAAAGAAGGGTATTATTTGGGGAATACATGTACTATTACAGTTAACTAACTTGAATACATGTACATGTACTTATTTATTTTGTTTGGACCAAAAAAAAAATAGTTTTGTGTTGCTCAATGTTAACGTCATGTTGGACAGTATCGGTATTAATTTACCTGTTCAGTACTGTTAAACTATGCATCCATAAAAAATTTGCTTTTTATCGTTATAGGATGTTTATATATGGCAAAATGATATTACATGTCACCCAGTGATGGTAAATGACCAGGTCATTTGCTCATTTGTAAATGATCTCCAATGACATCGAATGAACTAGCTCATTACGTAGTCATTAGGTCATTTAGATCATTTGTCATGTGGTTTATTTTTAGTTTAATTTTAATTTTATTAGATTGTGAGATCACTTGACTTTTTGAAATGACCAGTTAGATCATTTGACCTTTTTAACATGACCAGTCATTGGTCATTTAAAATCATTTACCATCACTGTGGTTACCTGTCTCACATGTCATTACGCACATCCATAGTAATAAATTCATTTCACAAATAGGCCGTATAAAAGTGAAAGATAGTGTTGACTAAGATTTTTGCGATGTGACTAGAGGAATTCAATTAAGATGTATTTGCAAGAAATCTATCATCGATATCGTCACAATGAGCCAAAGTCAATCGTCGCATGTCGGGGAATTACCGCTTTTTTAATCATAAGTCTACTCGTGACTTTCTTAATTATTGATATACGCGATGATGGGCCAGTATTGCATAGACCATGTTTGAAGCAGAATCTCTTCCGATATCGGGTTCTTATTTTACAAATAGCTGAAGTCTAACAATTTAATTAATATCTATTTACTTTTATAGATATTACTTTAATGCTCAATTTGAGTTTAGCATCGAATATTTGTCAAAATGTAAACTAGAATACAGTACCGGACAGCAATATCCAATATTGCGCCATAACGCTAATTTTTTATTGTAGATCTTATATATAATAATCAATCTAACCAATCAGAACTTTGATTTTTATAATATAATAGCATTAAGATGAATACAGCCAATAAAATTGTGAGCATGTGATCAAATGCATTAAATATCAGCCAATAAAATTGTGAGTATGTGATTAAATGCATTGTGATTGGTCAATTTTCCAGCGCCAATTTTTTGCTTTATTATTAGTTAGCGAATTTTTACTTGTTATGATTTCTTCAAAACAAAAAATAATAGAATGATTAAAAAATAATTAATCTGTAAGAGGATTTTTTTGTATAAACATTTGTTAAAAAGTTATAATATTTTGTATAAACTCAAAAAAATTAGATGTGATTTGCTGTCCGGTACTATATTTAACGAGAGTAAATTTAATATATTTTTATTTAGTGTCAGTGATAGCAAGTAGTCAAATAGACGATTGCTTTGCATATATCAAGCAACCTACGTAGTGTTCGGTGATGAATGGGTTGCCTTTCTAAGTTTTGACGATACATTTTTGGTACATGTCGATGTATGGCGATAGTTTTAACACAAAATACATGTAATACTGCTGATACAAATACGCAAATTGCATTTTTTTCGGTACTTCTGTCGAAATTCCGTCGTCCTAAATATCGAAAATAATATATATCTATTAAAATATCCGGATATTATTTTGGAGAAAAATTGTTCCATACAAAAATACCCGGGTATTTTACATGGGTGATACGGAAAAAAGGGGTATTTTGCTCTACGGTAGAAGTTTAGGAAATTTGTGACAATTACGTAAAAATAATTTTTTGTGTAAATGATACCTTCATTTTTCCTTTAATTATACAAAACTTTGACATAATTGAGCAATGGCTGTTTGATCAGATTTTTCTTGACTTTATTCTAAAGATTATTATATGTGTAGGGTGGATGTATGAAATCTAGAGAATACCGTTTAGAATACTTGCAATCATACTTAAATTTCGGAACTTTATAATTATGTACTCTTTCGTTATTTACATCCAGTGGCGTCAATTAATCATATATTGTTGTTTCTTTATTAGTCCAAGCGAATTATTTGATGGCTTAGTTCCTCTTATTAAGACCTTTAACAAAAGCATTTTGCATAATGGATTAAATTTCACCGATAATAAATATAATCACTAAGATTTTTATGAATCTTTTAGTCTCAAAAGAAGTAACATAACAAATATTTCAAAGCAAATAATTATTTAATCCTCATATTGGTGTCAACACATCAAGTGCTGCAGTGAGTACTCCGATTATCAAAAACAAAATTATAAACTGGATGTCTAGCAAAATAGATTTTTTAATTAATTTTTATAAAAAGTATAATAATTTTTTAACTTGTCCATTTGGCCAACAAGCATAATGAAGGAGCTTGTTTAAAAAATCTTCATTAATATAATTTTTAATAATTTAAAATAGAGAAATGTCCGTTATATACGTAGAAAGATTAGTTCAAGTGAATCTTTATTAAATAAAATGTATAAAGTGAGCTTTGAAATTTGTGAAATAAAATATTATTGCTATTTCCTTTTATTATATTTACTTTTTTGTCATTTTTTAAATTTGTATCATTACTTATAAAATTGAATAGGTCAGATTTATTATAAGTGAGATTTTTTATATTAATGCTGAAATTTTTAAAAAATGCATTATTTAAAATTGTATCTTCTCAATAAAAAATATAAAAAAAAACTTTAAAATAAAATACATTACTTGATAGTACTTATCAAAAACTATTAAATGATGTATTTTTTTACATTTAAAGTTCATATAAAAAATCCTTTGCAATTCAAAGTATTTGATGTAACTAAGCTGGACGCACCATATTTAATAAATAAAATAAATTGTAAATAATTAAAGTTTATTATAATTGAATAATATAAAAATTTCATATTGAATATTTATCCATAATATAATTGAAATAATAATTAATAAAATCGTTTTATAATTATTTTTTTGAAAAAGCTTGAATTGATTCATATAAACTCGTTATTGCTAATATCTGCAATATAGTCGGGATTATAGGTGGACGCCTAACCCGTGTGATACTATTTGGCACACGGTTTAGGTTATAGTTTAGAATTATACAGTTTTTACCAACTCTATAACCGAAACCAGTGACAATTAAGCGTCACCGGTTTAGGCGCTCAACTATAGTCGGGATACTTTTCATTTAAATATGATTTTAACACAGATCTCGTGATTGGTAGAAATGTTCGAGAAAGAGACGTTTTACGACGGATACAAAAAAATTTATCAAATATATTAAGTTATATAAGTTAAATAAATCAAAAAAAATATTAATACTATATTAAATTAAAAAATCATAATTGAATATATGACGCAAAAAATTTAAATCAATAATCACATAATTTTGCTTTAATTCTTTTCTGCAATGTAATGATAATAGAGTTTATAAATTAAATGATAAAATAATATTTTCAAAGAATTTCTCTTTACTTTAGAGAGAGAAATTAATAAGTAAATTAAAAAATTTTTTATTATGTAATATTTCAAATTTAATAATTATAAAAACAACATTTATGAACTTAAGATTTTATAACTCGATAGACATTTTTGTTCCAAGAATAAAATTATCGGTTGTTTTTTGTATTTAGATTTGCCAACATATAATGGAAAACATATTTATGTATATTTTTTTATAACTATATAATAGAGATATCGAGAAAAATTAGAATTTTTATATAAAAATTTGTGTTCTAAAAAATATTTAAATAATTAATTTTAACTGTATTATATGCTTGTATTATAAATAATTTTTTGAAAAAGCAAATAGTAATAAATTAATTCTTTGATTTAAAAATGTTTTAAGATTCATATTTAAATATATTAATATCTATCTATTATTATATTTTTATTATAATTCAAGTAAAAAAATAGCATCATGTAATAATATGATTTAATTTTTAAATTTTATTTTTAATATTCTAAAATACAAGTGTCTAAATATTTAAGATAACCTGATATTTAGTAATAGTAATTGGCTTTTCAGGTGGGATGCTCCTGTACAACAACATATAAAGATTTGAAAGACGAAAAATTATGGAGATATTTTGTTTAAATAATGCAAATTTTGAAATATTCTTAAAAATTATAAATTATAAATTATAATTTTTTTTAAATACAAATGGCTTTTTGAATTTATTATGTTGAATTGATAAAATATATTAATTGTATTAAATAAATATAGTATTTATCTTTCTAATGCAGTTAAATTTTAAGAACTATTTTGTATTGTTGAATATATATAAAAGGAATTGTTTAATTAAAAAAAATTAACAAAATTAATGTATCAGCGCTTTTAGTGATTTGATCTTGTTTTTTATTTTATAAAAAAATAATGCAATATAATATAATAATAATCCTGTCAAAAAAAATTTATGCTTCTACCTGGCAGTTTATTAACATTAAAATAAAAGAAAATTTCTGTTTATTTTTATGTACATGATTAAAGTTTTTGATTTGTTTTAATAATATGTATTTACTATAAATTAAAAATGATAGTGAAGAATGAGAATAAAAATGTACCTTGGGTATTTAGTTTAATTTATTGCAAGGATATGTAATTAAAAATTAACACAAAGCTATACTAAAGTTGCTACTGTTATCGTAGACTTTTATTTCTATTTTTACGCGCGTCTTATCTTTAAATCAACGGATATCTCTATTCTAATGAGCTTTCTGTATTTGGATTCATGATAGAAACAAATTTGCCTAATTTTGGAAATTTAAAAACAAAATTGATCAAAGTATAATAATAAAAGTGCACACAAATAAACAATTTCAGAGGGCTTGTCAAAAAATTTTCTATCACTGTTCAGATAAGGAGTCTAAATGTAATAGTCTCAACAACAACAAATATATGCTTAATTACAACCTCTGTTATAGTTGCTACCAACCTATAAAAGTAATTTTGCATCTTGTGACTCTTTGAACTGAAAGCAATTTAATTAATAAATGAAGAGTGTAACCTACATACACACCTTTTACGTTGAATTTCTGTAATTAAAATGAGGTTGTCTGAGCGTTGCCGTTCCGAACAGAATGACAAAATTTTTGGATCGCGTAAAAATCTGTCCAATAAATTAGCAGAAAAAAGTCACCGCCGAGATAGAAACGCATAAGTAGATAGAGAAAAAATCGCAAATCAGTAATGGAACGAATTCATCTTTGTAGCTTTTTATTCAGATCAAGAACAACAGTTAATTATTTTTCACTTTTTACATCATTGTTTTTTAAAAAAAATATACACACATGTAATAATGAATCGATTTAATAAATACCTTTCGTTAACAAAGTGAGCAAAGCGAACGAACGATTAAAAATTTCTGGTAGAATTATTGTTTAATTTTGATAATGAAATGACCTATTACAATAATGATAAACGAATTAGTGTAATGATTTTATTATCTTGAGGTATATCCTCGGATTATTTTTAGTAACCTCGTCTATCCTCTCATAAGAAAATCATTTTACCTGTCCTATCCAGATCAATCCGTAAAAATTCCTAATTAAGAAATAAAACATCAACGTTAACTAAAAGCGAATCTAATAATAAAGATAATGATTATAACATTGCAGGATCATAAGCTAACACATGTAACGTTTCTTCATGGATAATTTTCACAATCCCGTCTTGAAATATTGTTCATTATTAACCATTTGCATTTTTCCTTTTTTAAAATATAGAAATATAACTTATTTGGTTTATAACACTGAAGAATCCAATTACGTATTGTGTTCGCGTTAATCACGTGAAACCTAAACTAGCAAAACATCGAAACAGAGCAGGTCTTAGAGTCCAAAAAAATCATTGTTAATCCCTCAGCAATTAGAATGATTAGTAGTCGTCATCATCAATTATCATTTATTTTTGATCTAAAAGACAAACACTAGCTTACTTGAACTATCACCCGTCGTTCTGTTGCTAGTATTCTTCATTATGATAGAATTATGCGCGTAATTAATGGCGGCTTACTCTTATAAAAGATGTCGAATTTCTACTTTTAAATCGTTATCTAAAAAAAAATATTACAAAAATAAACGATTAGCATTTAAATAAATGTTATTTCACAAGCGAAAAAAGTAAAGAAGAGAGATCTAATTCGGTTGAAATTTTTTTAGTGTTCACATAATTTTAAAGTTTCAGAGTCCCGGATGTTTTCTGCATCATTTTTATCTATAAACGCTTCACAACAATTACCTTGTACATGCATTTTATACGTATTGATAAAAGGAAAACTTACGTGATTTGGAATTTTTCTTTTGCGGAAGTACCAATAATAATTTTCGTTCCATTTAAACCAAAAAAAAAAAAAAACAAATTTTCCAGTCAAATATCTTCAAAAAACAAACTTAGCAAGTTTCCCTAGCTTTTTAATTTCAACGTGTTGCGCATAATTATATTATGACTTCCCATTTACAGTATATATATATATATATATTGCCGGTTAGAGAAAAAGACCCATCTTATACTTAAAAAAAACCCAAAATTTAAGTTGTTGGTTCTTTGAGCCATTTGTCAATGTGTGAATACGATTATATTATCATTTTTGAAAGTCAAATGGTAGTGTCTCTTCTTGTTTTTATTCATCATTTATCGACACAACGAATAAAGGGAGTAAAGTTTCGGTCTCGTACTTACAAAAATTTGTAAAAGTGAAATCGAAAGGGTAAAGAACGAACGCTCAAAAACCAAGATACTAAGGATATCAGATACAGTATATTCTTTTGTAGGCAAGACACACGATGCAGAGGAGTAAATCGTGAGATTTTTTTATATACGGGGTGCGTGCAATAGAATCGGTGTAAATTATATAGTAAATTCTAATACAATTTACACCGTTTCTATTCCACTCCCCATATAGAAATAGTAAACCTTTGCTTTACTGAGATCAAAAAGCTTAGTAATCTTTTTCCCAATTGTAAATCATTTATTGCGAGGAATATTACATGTTCTTTTATTAATCTGTTAAAGAATACAAAGCTCTATATCCAAAAATTTGTTCGACAATCCATCTTTGTAGGTAAAGCGAACATATTAGCTTTTGTTTAGCATTAAACACGTGAATAGAGTGAAGTAACAAAATACTAACTTTTGAAACTATTCTATGTTGGCAAAATATAAAATAGTTGATATGACAGAACCTGAGTTTTGTATATTCAATAGAGTATCCGAGATATCACTATGCCTTGCCAAGTTTTTCTATGGTGCTTGTTTCTCCAATATACGTATCAAGCATGATAATTATGATTTGTAGAAAACTACAATTTCTTTTCAGAAATTCAAATTAATTCGCCACACAGTCAGCCAATCTTTGATTTACTTGTCCAAACCACACCCTTTATCTAACTCCTCCTCTTCCTTCGTTAATCGTAATGTAGCAGCCTGTGCCAAGATCTCACGTCTAGGCGATTCTTTCATGCGTTCAGCATCGCCACCAAGTCGAAATGTACCTCCTACATATCCAGCAGCATCGATACTGTCTTCCTCATCCAAAGGCTGATAGTATTCGTGATGATCTATTTTATGGCCAGCTGATTGTGTCCAATCCAATTCAACTTTAATGACAAATTATGTAATTTAGTCCATTTAACTCGTATCTTCTTTCTTTACGTTAATTCCAGCCAAATCAAAAACAAGATACAAACCAACTTCCTTATTCAACTGCCGATTCAACCGATGAAAGTTTTCATCATGTCCAGTCCATACACAATGTGCCAATTCATGCAACAGCACACGTCGTATCGCGGGATAATGTCGAAATCCTTCCAAATCATCGGTTCGTAGCCGAAGTGTAATTATCTGCCCCTTGTTCTGATTGTACCCCAAAAGATCTTTTTCGGCTGGTGATAACTCTGCCAGAACTCCAACACTGAATTTATGGCGTTCCATTATCGCGCGGATTCCGCGATCTTCGGAGAGGCGTTCTAGTATTTGACGTGCTTTTTCAGGGAAGGGGAGGTGTTCGAGCACTTGTATTTGGTGGAATTTGTATTGTGTCATTGAGTGTGTTGACGACGATTTGATATCTTTGTACGGCTGTATACAAGTATCGTTATAAAAATATATTATCATGATCCATTAGCATGACTCATTATAAAATTATATTGCAATAAAAAAGAAAAGATTACATTAATTGCATATTTCGATTTTCGCGGCTTATGTGACATTTTAGCATCGGCATCTCGAATCGTTTGAACTTCTGCCTGTGAACTTCCAATCATTGTGATTCTTGCTCCTGATTTTAAATTACTATTACGTAATGTGGAGTCGTCTTTTAATATTCCTTAATGTTAAAAAATAGATTTAATGATCACGAACCAACGAACAAAAGAATACGATAAAAATTACCAGTGACTCACCATGATAGATCAATTTTTGCAAGTCAGCTGGTACACCAGTCACCTCCTCCATGTGCTCTTTCAACCCCCGTACTGAAGAATCCGCAGCCCATTGTTCAATGCTGTGCAATTTTCCTCGGAAGCTAACTTGAAATGTGACTGAATCAACAAAAGAACAATTTACATGTATTAGGATAAATGATCATGCATGGGATCGACTCCCTTAGTTTATTTTTTCAATACAAATATGCTGTTTGTTTGGATTGTTCCAGCAGACGTATGAGATACAAACATGTTTTATCTTCCATCTGATTGTCGTCTTATTCGTTGCTGGATTTTGGATTGTGTGTTTAGTGTCTTGGTAGATGTGCGTATGAGGTGATGAGGAAAAATTTTCAATAGCACTGCGGATGATCCGATGATTCTCAACACTAGAAAAACAGAAATAGCAGAATTTGATGGTCTGACTATTCGGGGAACTACGAATATTTATACACAATCTGCGCGCACAAATCATATGCAAATGCACTACGCAAATTACGTAAGACCACTATTGATGCGAATTCGTAATTTTTGGAACGATCAGTGATCGGTCCGCGTAATTGGGTGTCCCGTATCCGAGCCGAAATTTTTCCGACACAGGAAACCCGCGAAGCAAGCATTCAACGACCGAGATCCCATGATAACGGGTTCAAACAATCCATCTCGGCATGATTGTGCGAATGACTACACGCAATTAATCACGACGTTTCATGCGACGATTATCCAAATTCCCATAATACCAAATTCATGCGCAGCATGAAACAAAGCATCACATAGCCTTGTTAGAAAATGACATTGTGCGCTAATAATAATCCTAATACTGTAACTGATATCATCATACTATCATAAAGCCGCCGTGTGGCTTTTACCCCATTAAGGATGATTAACACAAAACTCGAACCATATTCCATAATAATAACACAACTTGCCGTTTATCACCTAATTAAAATACCAATAAATAAATAATAATAATAACATATAATAACATCAATACATGAATCAATAAAGTACATGCATTTGCATTTGATACATCACACAAAAATACTGTATCTAAGTTTAGGCGCATAAAAAGAACAGTAGTAAAAGGTAAAACAAAGTTACTATTGCTGATGTAAGATTTATTGTGTGTACAATTTAATAAAAAACCTGATTCATATAATATAAAAAATGATCACGCCCCACTTATTCTGTTTTAATATTAGTAAAAATTATATAATAGTGATTATTTATTATTAATATTGATAGAAAGAAGTTACTGTGGGCACAGGGACAAACGAAATTCTATATATATATATAGCCCCTAATCTTCCCACATTTTAAATATTTTATTATATCGTTTGGCACCGTCTTGTTCAATTTATTACATTTCAGAAAATCAATAATTAATTAAGAGAAAGAGAAGCGCACCATTCTCTTTGAATAAATTAAATACAAAAAATGTTACAAACTTCAACACATCATCAAAATTTTTCAGAGCATAGTATTAACGATGAACCGCAGCACCACGATCAATATTATCATCAAGAAGAAGAAAACACAAGAAAACGAAAGAATGATGACAGAGATAAAACAAGAAAAAAACGACCACTGCCACCCGGTCGAACAATCTACGACCCGAACTGGGAAAATGTGGAATTGACCATGCGAACCATGGATGCAAACTACGGATCGCGTTTTCAAGAGTGGATTCGTAACGAGGAAAATCTGCCGGCAAGTGCACCGCGTCTTAAACGAATCGCAAATCAGTATTCGTTCAAACGATTGGTTCCCGCGTTCAGTTATATCATCAAAAGTTGGCGTATTGTGAATATTGGAAAACTGTTAAAGACTCTTTGTGAAGATTGGTCTGGTAACAAAGGACACGAAGATCGCGGGATTTTGATTGGTCGATTGACGGAAAATTGGCCATCGGAATATGTTGCGTCACTTGTCTGCGATTTTCTTACGTCAAAACCATATATTTTATGCGATTCCAGTAGTAGTAAGCATCAAGAAGCAAAATTAGAGTTACTTAGACACAAAGTAACACTAGATATTTCAAAAGCGCGATTTCTTAAAGCATTGACACGAGATTATTCCCTTGATCGAGTAAAAGCTGTCTGTTCCCGATTAGGACCATTTAATAGTCGCACAGGAATTCCGTATGCAAATTTTCGTGCGGATCAACCGATCGTTACGCAAATCGCTGCATTGGAATCATCCATGTCTTCAAATATGATGCCTAAAGATGTCTGCGTGATAGATTGGCAGATTCCGGTTGCTATTGTTAAACTCGCAAGACGTAAGGAACTTCAGAAACAGATTCTTCGTCAGCATGGGGCATTTACTAATAATAACGACGAGGATAATTTATGGTCAGAGTCTACGGAAACAATATCTGCTAGAGATAATATGAATGAAGATCATCCTGATAACACTAATCATCATCATCAATCAGCATTCAAGCGAGTTAGACTAGAGAACTCCGTTTCTGCTAATTCTTCAACTTCTGAATCGTCGTCATCGTCATCATCGTCATCGTCGCCTCACTCTTCGTTGAATCCTACAACTCATCTTCCTCTCTATATTCCAACACCGGTACGAGCAAATCGATTATTACCAATTAATCCTGTAAATAATATCACTATTACTGGTAATAATCATTACAACAATAACAATACTGGATCAATTCACAACGTCAACGTTGACAATCAAGAACATCAACCGTATAATTTTGTCTTTGGATACCCGAGTGATCAACCACCACCACAACAAACATATGGTTACCCTTCTTTTGCATTCTCTCAATAGATGAAAGAAAATATAGACATTAGATTTTCAATTTTCAATCAAATTTCTATTTCTTTATTTCAATTTTACGTCTTTGAAAAATATTCATAATACGTATTATGCAACAAATGTATAAGATATGCAAATTAGCAATATTGAATAGAATAGGAATTTTTTGTTTTTTTTTTTTTTGATCAAGCAAACTGTGCAATAAAAATTCGCATCAAATTGCTACTACATGTATTGGTACTCGAAAAAACGCCAAACTATTCTGAATAGAGAAATTGCTATTTGAGATGTAAGCTAATTTCGTCTGGGCGTATCGCATGTCAATCGATTGCGGTAAAGAATAAGCATGGCTTAAAAAGTAGATGTTAGAAAAAATTGGCGTGTGATTTCTGCTCGCTGATATATTTTGATTCGTGAAATATCGAATGACTATTTTCACATTAATCACGTCACATTGAAAACAGGGTATCCCGAATATTATAAATCTGATTTAACCTTAAAATTTTAAGTTTTCGTAGGAGGCATTGTACTAGTTCATATCGAGTAAATTCAATCATTTGAATCGTAAACTACGAAAAGGAAATTTTCATAAAACTATCAATCCCCATCTATTCAATTTATTAATTCCCCTATCTATTCCCCCATCTATTCAATCTATCATCATTCAATAAAACAACGGCGAATTATAAATTCGGCTTGTCAATAGTAATTAGTCATATAGAATTTTGAAACGGAGAAAATAATCAAAAGGGGTATAAAGGGGAGGAGCATGAAAGAACCAAAGAAAGAACGAAATAAAAGGTTCGAATAGGGTACCGTGTCCATTCATCATTCATTTTAAATTTAAAGAATAGGTTGTTTGAAAGAGGAAATGATCTATGGATGATGTTCTGTGCCCAGAATGAATGTACATTACACAAATAAAAGAAACCTGTCCATAATGATCATAAAAAGTAACGCATGCTAACGCTAACGGATCTTCTATGTTGCATCAATATTATGCGTGGGTTTAAGGTAATAAATATATTAGCGTTAGTAAATAAGTAAATATTAGTATAGTATGATGTATTCGTTACGTTTTATTATTAAGTATTTATAAAAATTCTGATATTGATTATGCGAAAAGTGATGGTCATTTATCCGTTTTCCGTAAATGAAAATTTATTCTCCTCAAGATAAATAAGGCAGTTTTTTTGGTGATCAGTGACTGACTGTAAAATAGATAATCTTTTAAAAAAATTTATGGTGGCTTTAATATCTCATTTGTAAAATTTACGGCACTTAGAATACACGTACGTAATATTTAATAAAAGCCTTAAAACTGCGTCCGTGAATGAGGCAGTGCAAAAAACCAACAAGTAAAATAAAACAAAATGGCAATACAGTACATGCTCTATAATGCAAAAAAAACCTATAGTAAAACTGAATGAGGAAATTTTGAAAGAACACAATGATCACGCACAATTCTAATTTATTTTGTATTCTATTTTGCGTTTTGTTTAACGTTAACAATAATAGATGCATTTTACTACCGTTACAGTATATTTCAGCTGCCTGCGGAATATGGATGTACGCTGTCGTACTCGTATCACGTTAATATTAATTTGTCACAGTCACACGATAGACCAAACAACTACTGGAAACAGGAAACATTTGCTGCGAATTCAAGATTTAATTAATGTGACTTTGTATGTATGCTATTGAACCGAAAAAAATTTTCTTGTGTAATTTTATGTGATAAATTAATTAATTTAGAGTTTCTGAGTTAACCCAAAAGTGTCATTTTTATCTCCCCCAAGCCCTTAAATGTACACGCATCATTTTGTGAACATGAAAAGATTAGCTTCGAAAATTAACTCGTGAACAGCGCGATATTTAATGTCGCAAGTTGGAACGAAACTTGTATTTAGCTAGGTTGATTTGAAATCAACCTAGAACATATCGATGTCGATATGTGTCTAAATATTCAAAAGAAGATCGTTACGTTATGTTATGTGATTACCGTTACCTGATACTCGACTTGTTTTTCTGAAGAATTCATATCAATTATCAGCTGATTACTCTGAATGTCACGTTTAATATAGAAAATTCAATTTATCTATTTTTGGATATGTATTTTTAGAAATATTTAATATATCAGAAAAAGGCACACATGATTAATTCAAACAGAAATGAAATTTTATCAGCATACGTAAAAGGATTTTTCCATTAAAACCTAAAAATATGAAAATTTATCAAGGAAAAATACATGTCCAAATATTTTGACCAATGCGATTTTGTTTATATTTAGCTAAAAAGAAAATAAAATTAAATACATGTAATAGTTTTACAAGAAATAACATAAGCAAGTATACTTTCGTATAATATATAGATTTTTAATTTATATCAATATTGTACTTTATGTTTATATAGATATTAATATTCCCTGTGCTTAACAAAGTAACATAGCAATAGTACGTACTTGTAAATAGAAATAATATTTTATTGAAATACATAGAATTTATACAAAAAAAATACCAACGATATAGATCTGAAAATTATTTTAGTTTACAGCATTTTAATAGTTTCTAAAATTTCTAAAAGCAAGCTATAGAAATTTATTTTAAATTCGCTTTAAATTTATCTTGTTTACATACTAATAATAACATATTGAAGATAAAAAATCAATTAGTATCAAATATATTTTATTAAATATCAAAAATTTTTGAGAAATACTAATTCTCTATTTCAATAAATTATATAGTTGTAATTGATATATTTGTATGATATAAATTCAAAATACATTTTTTGCAGTATAGTTTGTGAGATTAAATATTCTTATAAAAAAATATGAAAAATGAGATCATGCTCTAAATTTTTTTTATCATTAAAATAATACAAATTTTATAGAATGTCGATTCAAGATATACATTTTTTTAAAATTAATATTTATTGTTCTCCCGGCTTGTTTGATTAAATTTAAATATCTTTTTAAAATTTTAATATTAGAGATAAATAACAAGTGCATTTAAATGATACAAGTGAATTCGATATTCAAATATAATAATAACAAAATAGTTTGTATCTTTTTTATTATTTACAGCAATTGATATGTAATTTCTTTGTCTAAATTTTCACAGATTTATTTATAATCATTCTATTAAATTTTTATCCTTTAATTTTAAAACCAATATTATATAGCTTTTAGCTTTAATACTAGATTTTATTGAAATTTTTACATTAATCATTATACTTTCTATGTTCCAAAATCAACTACAATGGCAATCAGAAATAATGCAACGATGTCAAAATTTATTAATTAAACATAGTAAAATGCGGATTTTTCTCTATATAAAAGTTTTCAATTTTACTAATAAATATTTTTTATTTTTACATTAAAATGAAGAGAATATCACATATTTTAACATATATTTTTTCAGATTTTTTAGATTTAATCTGATAAAGCTGTTCTAATTGCATATAAA